ACTACCCGCAAGCCCTCAAAGCCGTCCGCGCCGCGGAGCAAGACCTCAAAATCCCCGAAACCGAGCGTCTCCACGTGCAATTCATGGATTCCCTCTGGGGCGCCGGCAACCCTCAATCCCACCTCCCGCGCAACGACACCAGGGTCGTCTACGACGACCACAACTACATCGGCGGCGCCGTCATTGCCAAGAACCCAAACGCCAAACAAGCAGACTACATGTACTACACGTGCTTCGAAGACGACCGGCTCGCCGACAACGACACGCCCAAAATGGTGCAAGAATGGAGCCTGACAGTCAAAAACGAGTACTCGGCAGAGTTCGACTGGAAACTTGTGCAAAACGAGGCCTTTTACAAGCAGTGGTTTGCCGCGCAGCAGCGGCTGTATGAGCGCACGAATGGCTGGATCTTCTGGTCGTGGAGGACGCAGTTGAATGATCCAAGGTGGGACTATAGTTATCTCGTGTGGAAGAAGTGGGTGCCTACGACTGCGGCGGGGCTGGATGCAAGTGCCAAGCAGGATGTGTGTGCAAAGTACTTCGGGAACCAGGGTATGATTGCGAAGACAAAGGTGATGACGTTGCGGAGGGGTGGTTCTACTATTCCGCTTTGAAGTTTTCATCAGTTTGAGCTGGCGTATCTTTTCTTTTCTTGCCTTTTGTTAAAATACCCCCTGTTGCCCCCCCCCTTTTCTCTCGAGGATGGAAATGAGACTGTTAGGTACCTTTTTCTCTTTAGTGTATGAGTGCGACACGAGTCTTTCGTTCAATGCATAGTGCCATGCTTGGCTAGCGTGTTGCTACTAGTGGTAGTCGAGGAGCAAACAAGCTTCTGGAAAGGCGCTGTGTAACTAACTATTCTTACAACGTGCTTTGTACGACTCCCCCGCAATCTATTCAACCTCCATGCCGAGTGCCTAAGCACTAACATCCAGATCATGAGACCTGCAAGCGTATGGTAAAGCCAGCTAGTCATTAGCAGAGGAAAAGTGATGACGAAGTATGCCCACAGGACTCCTTTTCGTTCTTGGGATCCAATATGGAGCGAGGTCAGCAGACTCTACCAGCAGCCGGGTGCCGATATTGACCGTAAGTAGCAAGGTCAGGAGGCTGTGTACACTAGTCAGTGTAACAATGCAGGTAATTAGTGTAGGCTGTTTTGCGGGGAAGAAGATGGTGGGGTAAGAGGTGACTAGTACGTATGCCTGCATCGTAGTATGACGGATTGCCTACTGGCACTTTCAGCATCCTAGCATTGGTGATTTGGAGACACAAGACAAACGAGAGTTATGGCCAACAAGGCGACAGGACAGAAAGCTCAATTCAAATTTTTTGCAAGAAACAACAAAGTGCTATATCTGACACCCAATCCAAGCCATAAAGGCGGTATATCATCCCAAAAAACGCCGTGTTAGTGCAACCCGAACAAACTCCCAAGGGCAATAACACCAGGCTCGCAACCTCGTGAGCACCGACCGTGAGGCATCATCTCGACCCTAGTATAGTAATTACGAAAGAATAACAGGCCGTGAACAGGCACGATATATCGTGAGTCGTGACTTTCAGAGACTTCGTGAAAGCATAAGCGAAAAAGGATCAAGAAGACTGAAAGGAAGAATGACCAGACTAGCTGACGCTCTGCGAGAGAGCAGAAGAGAGATGGGACGCAAATTTAGCGTCAATGCCGTCCTCCTGACCACCTAGGCCAAGGCCTATGCCACTGTCGTCGTGATTCGACTCTTGTTGTGACGGATTCAAATTGTAATCGTAACTAAAGCTCATGTTATACTGTGATGACTGTTGAGTAAAGCGTCCAGTATTGACTGGTGATCTTAGGTTAGTCAACTACTATGTAAGCCTGTGTTGTGAATAAATAGACTCACCTTCTTGGTTAGATCCAGTATCCTGGATAGTTACATGGCTAGTAGTCGACATGAAAGACTGGTCGGGGCCAAAGTCGGCCTCAAGGCTACTATAACGGCTATCGTTGTTACTGCCGCTACCACCGTTGGTCATACCCGCGTTGAGAGGGTCTCCCAACACAGGAGAGTAATTCGAAGATGTCCAGTCTGGCGGTGAGTGGCCCAGAAAACCTCCTATGGATGCTAGCCATTGTGCCATTTCATCTACGAACACCTTGGTGAGCCACCATCCTTGGAAACTGATTCCGTTCTCTACTGTGATTTCTCTTAACGCTGCGGAACCAAGTGCGCTGATGCAATGCATGATAGTCCGTGCGTGTGCGCCAGGGAAGCGTGAAGGCAGCCGAGTTAGGAATGCTGCAATGCGATCAATGACTGACTCGGATGGATCAGCGGGTGGGTCGGGGTATGCTGCTCGATGTATCGCCCCAGAAGGTAACTGTATCTCCTGTGGAAGTGGGCCCAGCATTGAACGGATCTCGGTTGTGAGAATGTTGTACACTTCCTCATGCGCGCATGAAGCAGGCAACTCGTTCGCAATGATGCGCTTGATATTCACGTACTGGAGCCAATCGGCGTACATGTGAGTGCGATGGCTCTCCGCTGTAAGCATAACAGCTGCTGCGTGCGCTGCTGAGTTGACGCGGAGCATCTGTCGCAGTAGGTGAGCGAATAATGTAGCGGGTTCTAGCTTTGCCTCAAGGACGTGGACTGGTAAGGACATGAACTTGGCAGTAATGTGTGCATGAAGCGTCTTTGCGACATTGTCAAGAAACTTCAAAACTGGCGGCGGTGCTACCTGGAGTGTCAGCTGAGAGACGTTCCGGATCATCTTCTGATACATCATCCAGTCACACTCTCTGATCCATGGTGCTAGCTCTGGTGTTGCAAATAACTTCTGTACTGGCACAGTCAAAGTACCGTGGAAAGTGCCGAACAAGCGAAAAAATTGTTTCTCCTTGCAGTAACGTACAGAGTCCACTAGTGAGACGACATGCGAGCGGTACATAGCGACCAAGTTGTCAGCAGAATCGGGGTCGGTACGGGCTGGCAGATACGGCTTGATATCCGGCAGTTCGACGACGAACGCATCTGGGGCCTCAAGAATGTCCGGTGTTGGAAACTTGAGCTCGTGTTCGTATGAGGATTTTGTGCGGGACTGCGATGGTTGGAAATGCGAGGAATAGATATCAGTGAATAGCACACCGCGAGATGAGGTTGGGGTATAAAAGGTATTGTGAGATTCTGCCCTTGGTTCTCGAGGGGGAAACTGTGAGTTGTCTGCAGGTAGGCGTGGGATGGCGCTGGTTTTCGTTAGTACATGTCCTTCAAAAGGATGCGAGTGGGGCGCATACTCGAGGTTGAGCCTGGGAGTGCCAGAAGTTTGACGCTTCATAGCATGATGCGCAGCAGCACCAGTGCTAGGCCGGCGCGCTTCATCGCCATCGCCTCCATCATTGATAAGCTCCAGGTCGACATAGTGGTACTTAGACTCTCCACGAACACCGAGACGCCTAGTTTGGATACCAGGAAAGATGACACGAACAAGCTTTCCGAAGGAGGCTGGGTTGAGGGGGATGACGCGATCGGTGCCGCAGCGCTCTGCGTACTTGGAGTAGACGCGATTGCGTGGGACCGAGGTCTTTGCGACGCGACAAACCGACTGCAGCCTGTAGACTATTAGCATACGACAAGCCCGAAGGCATCATGGCACTCACCACAGCATGGCGAACAGCTGCTTCGATTTCTCTGATTTAGACGTCCGGTCATTCTGAATAACCTCGGCCGCAACGTCCTTCAAATTACGACCCTCGTTCTGGTTCAGCAACTGGCGCAGCTCCTTGTCGTTGGTCGCCGCTCCCGAGGTTGAGGCCCTCTTCTTCTTGTCTTCATTGTCCACCGACGGAGCCATGAAACTGTGTTGCTGCGAATGCTGCGAATGTTGCGAAAGCTGCGAAAGTTGCGATTGCTGTGGGAGGGGGTTGTGATAGCCATGGTGATCTGTTTGCGTAGGCTGCCCATTTGGTTGAGGCTGATTCGTGGTTGAGTCGGCCGGGTAACCGAGGTACTGCTGGACACTTTCCAGGCTCATATTGATGAGGTGGTCCTGCGCGCTGACCTGTTGCGCAGCTTGGATTAGCGCAGGCTGCAAAGCTTCACTAGTCGTGAAGGGTGCATGGTACTGCGGCTGCTGGGGAAATTGGGCGGGCCGAGATTGCTGCGGTTGCTGAAATTGCTCAAACGAATGGACGCTTGTAGTCGACGCGCGCGAGGGCGGGCGGTTACTCCGGGTAGACATTGATGTGTTTGAACGTGACCGGCGGATATCGGTCATGATATGGGTGCCAGTAGTGGCTGATGGTTTCTCTGTTTACACCAAAACAATGGGACGGCAACGGCGTTAAGGGGGCGACAACACGGTCGGACGGGTACCCAGGGCGAGGGACAAGTCGACAGAGATATACAAAGGGCGCGTCGAAGCTATAGATGGATGTTGTGGACGTGTAGGCCGGGCTGTGGGTGTGTGTTTCGATGCTACTGGGCTTGTTTGTTGTCGGTCCTGTGACCTGGCCGACACGCGGATGGGTCAGATAAGATGGCAAAGACGCGAAGGAGATGCTCCAGAAAGAATGGCCAGCTCCAAAAAGCGTCGTCGGCGCTGTCGGTTCCCCTCGGACGGGTTTGTTGTGGGATGGGTTTTTCGATGTTTACGCTTTTGACTGAACTTGGTCGCACCTGCGGCAACGGACTGGCCGGCGCGCATGGACCAGCGGCATCACATGACCATCGTCATAACACACTATGCAATCTTACTACCACTGTTATCTCGTCGCCCAGATGTGTTAGTAGGGAAATGCCATGTGGCCAAGCATGCAATTCACAAACACCACGTCTGGCCTCGATGCAGCACTGTGCGCACGTACTGCTCTCGATGCACTTGCTGCGGGTCAAACTGCTGCCATTCGGCTGGCTTGTGAAAGGCGGTGACGTATTTAGCGATGACGAGCCCACTTGCCTCCATCCCACAATCGTCCCGGCTCCGCGTTCCCACTCTTCCTTTCCAAAGAACACCTTTCCAACCCGCTTCCTACTGAGCAATCCCGTCCTCTGCATTCCTAACCTCCCTCACCACAAATTTCCATAGAGAAATCCCGCTCGACATCTTACCATCCTTCACCATGTCTGTCCAAGATAGAGCCCAGGCCCAGCTGTCACAGCTCGACAAGGAGGTAAGCCCCCCGCTCGCTTCATTCGGATGACACATTGCCAAAATACACCCTCTTCCTCTTGCTGCCCGGCTTTGACGACAAGTTGTGCTGCTCGAAATCGCAAGCAACGCGTGCTGATGATGTGGTGTTCTAGTTGTCCAAATACCCCGCCCTCAACAACTTTGAGAAGCAGACCTCCGTCCCCAAGGTCTACATGGTGCTTGGTCTTGCCGGACTCTACTTCTTCCTCATCTTCTTCAACATTGCCGGAGAGTTCCTTGTCAACGTTGCCGGATTCGTCATTCCAGGCTACTACTCCCTAGACGCCCTCTTCTCCGCAACCAAGGTCGATGACACTCAGTGGCTGACAGTATGTACCCCGCCGCGGTATTTGAAACCGGCTCCCCCCACAACACACGTGATAGCATCCAGACAGCTAACGCGTCTATTCAGTACTGGGTAACCTTTGCTTTCCTGACCGTTTTCGAGAGCGCCGTCAGTGCCAGCTACTGGTTCCGTAAGTATCCCGAATTGCCTTATGCGACGTGACACTGACCCTGAGCAGCCTTCTACTACACCTTCAAGTTTATCCTTGTTCTCTGGATGGCCCTGCCCCAGACTGCGTAAGTGACCTCAGGTAGACATTGGAACGCAATCTAACACGTCGCAGTGGTGCCCAGCTGGTCTTCCGCTCTTTCATCCAGCCTGTTTTCTCCCGCTACTTCTCGCAGAGTGGCTCCACTGCCGCCGACCTCCGCGCCAAGGTCGACTCCGCCGGCAAGGCTCACGCCTCGTAAAGTTGTCGTAGCCACACCACCTCTCATAGTCGTATGACCAGGTCAATGCAAGCACGATGATGTCCAGGTAACGCCCTCTGCTGTGCGGGGGCCAGACAGACCGGAATCCTCGAGCCTTGGGGCCGTCGCGGCTTGGAATCGCAGTATGAATGAGAACATGGGGGTACAGAAACTGTTCACAGAGGGGTTAGCATAGGAAGGAAAAGACTGGAATCCTTTTATCCTATGATTACTCGTCCACGAAGCGACGGCTTGGGTAATAGATCGTTTTCTGTAGCAAAGGAGTTTGACAAGGTTGCCTTTGAGCAACGATTTGATGTACTAGATTGGGCCCTGCCCTAGGCAAGCAAAAATGACACTCATCCTTGTAACTTTTCTTGAGGCTTTCTCTGTCTGAAAAGACAATGCCCGCTCTCGCAGTATCGGGTAATGACTAGAAACGCAAGGCTCTCTGGAAACATCTTATTGTACAACTGGCAGTTTTCCTACAATATCAATTCACATGTTTCTTGAATATGCCCAGCTTATGAACCACTTCTTTTACTAACAGGCAAAAATCCATCTTAATAACCACCCCGCTACACTTCCTTGCCGCCATACCTACCTCTACCTTCTCTTGCTCCCCAAATTATGTCTGTAGCGTCTGCAAAAGACCTGCGAAGCTATCGATTTCTATTCATCTAGTAATTCTACGTTAGATCAGGGACACTAAGAAGATCACGCGAGCTCTCTTACCCCAAGGAGCTCTACAAAGATCAGATTAATGAAAGACATTCATGTACACTGGTAGCGCCTCTTGCTAAGCCGGCTAACTAACCCTAGTTAGAAAGCGGAGATGAAAATGGATAATTGAACAGGCCCTGGGAGAATGCTGCCGTAAAAGCGTTACGTATATAGCTGGGATGAAGATGGTCAGAGCATTCAAATACGGCGAATGCGGTGATTACAATAGCACCGGGAAACGTCCGATCATCACAGCACGTAAGACAATAAATTGGGTACTATACACGCTACCTATCAATTCTTAGTATAAGGCTAGTTAATGAGCATGTGGATACCTGGACTTAAGCTATCTAAAGCCGAGAAGTACCATAGTCAAACGCACGCTATGCGAAACATGTTAGCTTAGTTACTAGGAGAAGAAAGAATATAAGCTTTGGACCTCGTAAATCATATTCTCAGATTCGCACTTTAGTAGCTTAGCGTCTTTGATTTCTCTGAGAGTTTTAGCACTCTTCTTAAGCCAGCAAGGCCTGGACAAGGTAGCTTGAATTAGTGGAACCTTCGCTACACCTGATATAGTAAGAGTTTTGACGGAAGGTTCACGACCCGGCGCTGCCCCTGTCTTCTTTTATGCATATTTCAACGTTTGATATTCTTTTGTGGAGTTGGCCAAGTTTGACCAAGGCATGCAGATTTGGTTCTTCCTCCGCTATAGTTAATCTATACTGCCAGATTACCGAAAGGATGCGGACCGATTGCTATCCTAGAAGGCGCAAACAACCGGACTATGTCGTACGTCTACCGTGATATGTTTCTAGAACAAACGAAAAGTTCACCAGCGATGCAATACAAATACGTGACTACATGAAATGAATCAAATATTGTAGCGCGTGAAGATTTTCTCATCTACCTGGACATCAAAACGACCATTCGTCATATTTTTACAACAGCCAGCCTCGCACTGGCCTTTGCCAAAACAAATGCTGAGACTTAGGCTTCAGGAAAATACAGATATACGACTGCGTATGACTACATCATTGTAGGCGCAGGAGCTTCTGGAATCATTGCAGCTCAAAGATTCGTAGAATGAGGGTCATCTGTCCTTCTTCTTGAACGAGGCGGTCCTTCTTTCTTTTCATCACGCAGCAGTTCCATCCTTCCGTGGAATAATACTGTCACCCCTTTCGATGTCCCAAGTCTGGGAATTTCAATCGGCGATTTCCCCACCCTTAATGCGTTTTGCAACGATACTCCCGACCTATCGGACTGTATTTTGGGTGGTAGCACAGCTGTAAATAGCATGAACTACATAAACCCGTCGCGCGATGACTTTGGTGCGGTTTGGCCGGAAGGATGGCGATGGGACGATACTCAAGCCTCAGCTGCAAAGCTTTACTAGCGAAACCCAGGAACCATTACTCCATCCGTAGATGGCCGCTACTACGATTCCGCTGTGTATGATGTTCTATCGAAAGAGCTTGCTCAGGCAGGTTACAATTCTGTCAACACTGTCACAAATCCGAACGACGAAAAGAAAATTTACGGGCACAGCGCCGTCAACGTTATCGATGGGGTTCGTGCTGGCCCCGTACTACGCACATACTTGCCCTTGACGCAAAGCAAGCCGAACTTCAAACTTGGATTACACACAAAAGTTATTCGCGCGGTCCGCCAGAATTCGACAATCACTAGCGTTGAAGTCATCGACAAGACCAATTAGCGAAGGATTATTAACATCAAGAAGGAGGGTAAAGTCATTTTTGCCACGGGCGCCATGTCCACACCTCGCCTTCTCTTCAATTCAGGTATTGGCCCTATTGCTCAAATCAACATGGCAAAGGCAGTCAATGTCACGCTTCCCGATAAGAGTGCCTGGATTATAAGCCCTGTGGGCGTGCAGATCCAGGATCACGCGGCCCTTTTTGCGACATTCAACGTAACTGGTGGGAACATGACAGTAGTGCCTATCAGCGAGGTCAAAAATCCTGGTCAATAGAATATTGATCTGTTTGCCAAAGGCTCAGGTGTGCTCGCAGAAACACCATTCCGTCTCAACACATTCAGGACCGTGACAACCAGCGATGGTCATAAAATCATGATCCAAACGCATTGCTTCTCGAGAACGAACAACCATATCAATTTCATCTACCAGGTTATATTTGGAATCACAATAGTAGGTAGCATGGCCATGGATACCGCCGGGAAAACCATTTATACCAAGAGTGCCCTACTGCAGACCGCTGCAGACAAAGAAGCCCTTGCCATTGAACTCGGCAACTGGCTTGCTATGACTCGTACTCCAGGATCAAGACTGGCATACGCGGGAGGGCCAAACACCAATGGCGCAGAGATTATTAAGGTGAACGGAATTAGCACTGGATATCATGTCACAAGCTCTACGATCATGGGTACCGACGACGGCACTAAGGGCGGAACAAGCGTCGTTGATCCAAACTGCAAAGTGTACGGTACAAACAACTTGTTTGTGGTTGATCTTGGGATTCACCCCAAGGTTCCGAGCGGAAACACCATGGTTCTCACTATGATTGCGGCTGAACATGCAGTTACGAAGATGCTTGAGCTTGAATCTAAGAGCTGGTAGCCCTAGTTTGTAAAGTAGAGGGTGGCTCTCTTCTATAGTTGTGACAGTATCAGGGATCAGGTTGATATGAATTAGCCTAATCTGGAACAACTGATCCGTCCTCTCTTATGACAAATAGTATATAACGGTTTGAAGAGAAAAAGAGGCTGTGTAGATTCTACTCGTAAAACTTGCAAATAATTAAAAATTAACAACAGACCACTGTGTTCCATTTTCCCTAATTTCTAGAAAAAAAATTTACAGTCTTACTAACGATTCTCTGTTAAGAAGTCGTTGAGATGGTTTCGGAGGGAGACTCTAGCGCGAGCCGTTATCATATGTGTAACATATTCCTGCAGTATCATGGTTTTATAGTATGCCACATGATCCTTGGCTAGCCACTGAGATATTTGGAACAGATCGACTAAGTATTTATTTTCGCCGGGAGGATTTCACCTTGAAGGCACCCTGGGGTACTTGGTTCAATATCGGTCGCCATCCCTGTTGCTTCTGGGGACACTGAGATGCCCAGTGACCAAACTTTTCGCCTGCCATCGATCATTAGTATCACTAGAAGCGTAAAGGGGAAAGGAGAAATGACATTTGAAACACTTGTCTTTGGGTCCTCTTCTCGGCTTGCTTGGACATTGGGCCGCCCAATGCCCAAGTTCCCCACCTGCGAACATTAGCAAATCAATAATACAATTTGTTTTACGATATATGCTGCGAAACTCACAATGAAAACAGGCATTGTGGCAATCCCTCCTCCAATGCCCTATCTTCCCGCATTTGTGGCATTTTCCATTGCACTCCTGCGTCGCATGGCCCAATCTCCCACAAACAAAACACTCGTCTTCGCAATCGCTTGCAAAGTGCCCTAATTCCCCGCATGTCCAGCACGCATCCGGGCAGTCGTCCGTCGAATGGCCTATGTCGCCACATGCATCGCACTTGTTCGGGCAGTCTTTGGCATGGTGGCCGACTTCATCGCATGTCCAGCATCTGTTTGGGCATTCATCAGATTTGTGGTAGAGTTCGCCACAGGCCCAGCAATCATTCGGACACTTTGATGTGGTGTGGCCTAGCTCGCCGCAAATGGTACAGTAAAATCGTGAGTTATTTGTGGACACTTTTGGAAACTTTTTTGCTCCATGCCAAGGTCCGGCATTTTCCCCAGAGTCCCAGATTTTGCTCTTCTTTGTGACTCTTTTTTTCTTTTTGCCATTATTAACAACGTCGATTGAGATTTCTTGACTTCCTGTATCCAAAGGCGTTCCTTTGTCCGAAGATACCCCTGCATCTGAGTACATTTCTTTATCTGAATATCTTCCATCGACGGTTAGACCAGCGTCTACAGATTTCGCAGCGAAATCACCCTCCTTTTCTTTCCAAGTTTCCTTGTCTTTGGACTTATCCTCATCATTGCACTCGGGGTTGTTACATTCGACTTTACGCAAACAATCGTTACAGTAAAGTCTGGTATCTGAATGATATGGCGGATTGCTTAGCTTGGTCATCCGGCAAACAACATTGTTCGTATCCAAGCGCTTCACTTGATCCGGGTCCAGCATGTCATGGCAAACAGAAAATAGACCTTTCCTCACTCCTCCAGTGACACTAGCCTGAGACAGCAGTCGTCGAACTTGTTTCAGCTTCGCAAAGTAAGGCCTATCATCCATCTGCCTGAAGCCAACCTCTGGCTCAAGTGCGTCCAGGATTTCCAGGTAAACACAGCCCAGAGAGTAAACATCCGATTTTCGGTTCCGATTAGCCCAGTCTTGCACCTCCGGAGCACAATACCGCTGAGTGAAAAGACCTGGGCAACCGACTGTAGTGGTGTCCTGTTGATCTGCATCAAAAGATATACCAAAATCCGTATATAGGACGCGACCTTCGTGCACCAGAATGTTCTGCGGTTTAATATCCTTATGCCTGATGGTATGTTTGTGTATGAATGCAAGGCCGCCTGCTAAACATCCAAATGCACGGTTCAAGGTGATCTCTTGTTCACTGGGCATCCCAGACTCCAGGGCTCTGGTAATATATGCTGCCAGATCACCGCCGCCCGCCACTGGACTCAGCAAAATGCCCAGTTCTCGGTCGCAAATATACGATCCGCGTAACTGTATTATGTGCGGATGTGAGGAAAGCCGCCTCATAATGCTAATTTCATTAATGAATACGCGTTTCACGCTTTCAAACTGTCTTCGGTTGTAACGCCGGAAAGTTTTCAGTGCAAATATCTGATTTGTGAATGTATGGGAAACCATTTCGATGACTGCACTGCCACCCTGACCAATGTTTCTGACGTGTCTGAAGGGTATTGCTTCCCGGCTTGCAACTTCGATGGGTTGACCAAGGGTGGATGGATCACTTGTAGGATCGCATGGCCCCGCATTGTCTGAGCATGTGCATGTTGGTGACAAAAGTTTACAGCATGATACTTTGGTACGATAAACTTACCAGTCATGTCGAAGTTGGACATTTTTGTAGGCTGAGAAATGATGCTGCTGCCTGACGAGCTAGATAGGACTGTGCTAGATCACGTGTGCAAGTTTGGTTGAGCAACGCTCTGAACGGAATCAAGCAAGAGGACGATTACTACTTATGACGTTCTGATTGCCGATATCGAGAAACTGAAATGATAGAGTGTTAGGCAAGACTTATGAACAAGGCAATTGTAGGCTGCACAAGGCTAATAGTACTCTGGGCAGCTAGCCACAATTGGTAAGCGGTTTCCATGGGTAGTTGTCGACTGCGGAACGCGTGACTCGACATTACCAACCCAGTCTTTTGTTCATCACCTCATAATCGATCCTCTCGTGTTACGCTTGCATAAATACGGACTGAAGTCGTGCGAGGAAGCTTATACTGTGGTGACGCGTGGTTGTCTCGCCAGCATTCCTATCACATCACCATGCGCCGCTATGCAGAGACAACGATACTCCGACATGGCCTTCTAGGACCACTGGGATGCTTTACCGCCCCGAAGACTGGTTACACAAGTCTGCATAGCTGCCCGACACCAAGGAAAAGCGCCCAAGGTGATAGCAGGCTGAGACTCTTTGATCCAATGGAAAACGCCACAATTTATAAGCGAGTCGGTCCTCCAACATACTGCACCCTATACTATGACACTGCAAATGCGTGCGGATAGGTCTAGCCTAGTCTGGCACTATTTGGACCAGTTACAAGTATGAACGTCGCAGGCTATGGGATCCAGACACCGTCTCCATTAAGAGAACACTCGTTCACCCCGATCCGGACGCCGCCTATACGAGCTTAGGTCCGCTTGACCAGATTGGGACTCGGTGATATCGTTCAATCCTTCTCCAGATATCTGGCGGATGCCTAGGACTCACCTTGTTTATGTGGGCATACCGGCCATTATTCAGTCGCCACTCTACCTTACAATCTCAAATTGACTTTCAGACATTGTTGGCCAGCCTTTCTGTATGCCGTGTGAGCTTTTGTATCCAACTGCGACTTCCTATACCAAGAAACAAGAGAATACAAAAGCGTAGACCTGTAGGTCTCAAACTACTGCTTGAACGCTGATAAGGAGTGTGCAAGTCAGAAGGAGTCTGAAGTAGTAGCCTGTATGATCGAGTACGTACACACGAGTAACCATCACTGTTGATTCTAACAGCGAGTTTAGGCGGTACACCAGTAATGGACCTCATCGAACGAGAATATCCAACAAGCGACGACAAGCCTCCATGGTATGGTATGGTGTTCAAACAGTCAGTATATTCTGATGCTATGCTGGAAAGTCTCAAGAGGCGGTATCCGCAAGGTGCGAATCTGCGAGAGAGGAAGCATATGGCTGCCATCGAGTTCCTACAACAAGAACTCGAGGACATGCAAGCAAGTGAAGCAGCTTTGATACCTAAAACCAATCCAACGAACTTGATGTCTGATGTAGCATCACACGATCGTCAACACCAGAAAATCGGTTCACTGCCCTATTCGCCAACTGCTCAACTGTCAACTCCGAATATCACGAATGGATACCATGGTAGAAGAAGTCCTACAAATAAAGTACCCTTGGTGCAGTCTCCAACTGTTTCGAGCAATATGTCTGGACAAGAGATTGTCTTCAGCATTGCAAACAGGCCCGTAGTGCAACGCCAAAGGAGAAAAAAAATGACCGCGTCAGAGAAGATCTCTTACAAGCAGATGCGGAAAATCGGCGCTTGCGATAGTTGTAAACGTCAAAAGGCAAAAGTAGACAGCCTAATTTTCTTGTAAACAAAACAGGAGTGCAAAAAGCTGATTCGATGTAGTGCAGGCATGTTGGTGGTGAAAGAGACAAGTACAGAAACTCTCGAGGCGCCAGTAGTACGCCACAAAGGTCAGTGACCTCGGGAATTGTTGAACATATCTCACATAGTATTTCAGAGATACTCGACCAGTTTCTGACTCGGCAGCACTAACTGTCAATGCAACGAACGAGCACAGACGGCAGACTCAAGCTCCGCAGAACTCGCGAGAACTGTCGTATGAGCTCAAATCCTCTCTGCAAACAGTGTCGGTAGCAACACCTGTTACGGTATCGGGGAGCCCAAGTCCACATTGGGTCCAAGATACGCAAGAGAGTGCACAATCGGAGTTGTCTGGGTACGTACCTGCTTCAATCACTTCAAAGCATTACAGTGTATATTCAGACGCTACGATTGAGAGTACTATTGATCCGCAACTTTTGGATATGAATTACCGGGACCCGGTTGTCTTCACTGAAGCGAATGGCGCCTTTCCTATGTCTTTGACCCCCAGAACCACACCCTCCAGAAGTTTCTACTCCAAAAACACCTCCTCGGAGTTTTGCAGCCCAGTGCAAGGATATCACCAGGATATGACTAATCCAAGCCAACCAAACCCCCGTTTTTACATCAGTCCATGAATTTGAAACCGCATCATTTTCACGCATCTATCCCTGGTACAAATTCCATAGGACCAGAACCACATTTGGATTTGTTTCATAAGATTATCCGGAAGTCTCAAAGCCTGATTTTGGAATGAAACCGTGGTTTGAGCGACCTCTAGGCCCTGTTTACAGAAACATCCGGGGAGATTTGCCACTCTTTATTCTTCTGCTAGTGTTTTCTTGTACGCTTTCCGTGTGCTGCACTAGGAGAATTTGCCATTTGTTCCGTACCCATAGCATCAGGATGTATTCATCTACCAGTTAGCCTGGATCGGTTGTAATATCGTCGTCAGCACATATCTAACACGGGATTCCAACTTATAGACATGAGGATAGACTAGGGTGTGAAAACGGAGCTCAGCAGCATTACCAAAGTAAGTCTTTCATCCTCACCTATTCCTCCTGCTCAATGCTGCACGGTGATATCAAGGGTATTTTGGTAGTACTAAGAAGATTTCAAGGATCCTGAACGAAACCCCATATCACCCATAACCTCCTTCTTTTCCTTTCATAGCCTTGCTATGGGCCATGTAATGTTTTTGTCACTGTACTACCCCAATTTTCTATTTTTCTTTGCTGGCTGAATTGCTTCCACTTTTAGTAGTGCGAGACACTACTAAGGCATGGCAATTCAATCCCTCACATGGCTGACGGAATGTTCCCACTACGACACACTGGCCACATTATATCATACCGCCTTGAGAATTCTTGGTGGATCATCCAGCATTCGGTTCTCTTTTTTCTCTCGTGTTCTTCTTCTCTCTAGGCCGACCTTATGGTCTACATCTCGTTCTAAGATCCACATGGGTAGTGTAAAATGTACGGTTTTCTAATACGCTACTGAAATAGAGCGCCATCACCAACCAGCCCTATCAAGCGAGAACCATCGTTGCCGATTAGTACGACCATGTCAATTCCTGCCACCGTGCAGACGGACACGACAACATCAAACGCGGCATCCATATCATGAAACGGGCCTTACAACACACTCTTCTTCATTAGAATCTACGGCAAGATACATGGCTCTACGATTTGATGTTTATGCTGGTTAGAGTGGTACACTGTTTTGTAAGAGTGATAGGCAGCGATAGGCACGTGGTTGAGATTGAATTTGAGCTGACGGGTGAGCTAAGAGAGAGATGTGACCGTTTAGAATTATGTTATGCATTCAATATTTTCCTCCATAACGAATATGCTCTTCCTTCATAGGTCTTTAGTAGACAAAGAATGATAACTGATCTTGTGCACCGTGAATATATCTACACATTGTTGTAGATACAGAAAGACGAAGACGAGAAATGGAAGAGGTACGTTAGGATTACTATTGGCATAAATAGGCAGTGAACCTCGACCCAAGTCACGATGTGAACAGCTAGTGGAGCATAGAGATGTGTCGTAGTTTATTATCATTATACTTATACTTGAATAAACACAGCTAGATAGGCCAGTGACCGCCTGCTTTTACAATGCTATACGACCCAGTCTTGCTTTGATTGTGGAAGCGACAAACACTAGCAACTGTCGGTTTCCTGGCTTGCATCCCACTGGGTGCAAAAGCAAGTAGGATTTGATCTAATCGAGAAATGTTAGCCCTACAATCTTCCAAGAATGCAACATTACTAGTAATAAAATTCTTCTCTTCGACTTACCCTCTGTAGACTGTATAAAGGAAGAAGTTATTGGCAGTTGAAGGCTGTCCAAGTAGTTTTCGGCATGCCACTTTGCAATCATTGTCATTATTTTGCTGCACACAGTACTGGTTGCCTCCGTAGTCAACACAGCCCGCAGCGCCGTCGGAGAGACATCCGCTGTGGACTGCGAAGCAGCACGCCTCTGGAACTGCCGCCTGGCGCGCTACTGCAGTGGAGAGGAGGACGGCCACGGTGGCGATGAGAGAAAGCTTTGCCATTGTAGAAAAGAGTGGTGGATGTTCGTTCTTGATTTTGAGTAGTAGCGTGTCGATTTTCGTGTCTGAAACGACGTCACAGTCGCGAATAGTTGGATTTAGTGAGGAGATGGAGAGGTGCTGTCTGTCGATTGGAAGTGCAGGTGCATATACTTATACTATAGATTTTCGTATCCACATGCTGCTGAGATAGATTAGCCTCTTGAGATATATGTTGACATCTATGCACACGTATCCAAGGCGGATACGAGTTGGAAAATACGGTCAATGGTCGCAAACAGCAAGGTTGCGGCTTTGGCGGTAAGTACGACGAAAGTAACTGACGTGTCACATGAATATTTTTAAAGCTGATCGACCTAGCACAGACCAGAGGCTGTTCTCTAAGCTCATGTCGAGATTCTTATGGATTAGAAATGAACTGAGTTACCCAACCCCGAAGCCAGCAACGATAGTTCTCCAATTGATAGGATGAACTGGACGATGACGGACACCAGCCAGTCCGGCAACTTGCAATGTAGTTTTGCCAACAGCGGACGACTTCAACACCACGAGTAAGGCGAAAGTATAAAAATCAGTATACGAGGCCATAAGGAGCAAGCAGCTAGTTTAGTAATAGGCTAATTGACGGCCTATATCAGTAAAGGAGGTGTAGCGGTACGAAGTTTCGCCGAAAGTGGAGATGAGCACGAGATAACCATTTGCGAAACACATCTACTATGCTACATGGTAGAATTTATGTATGTGGGTCACTAATAAGGGAACCATAAAGGTCAGAGTGAAGAGTAAGCGCTATACTATGGGCCTGTTCGGTTGCGCGGTTGCGTTTTGCGTTTTTGTTCCCAGATTTGGGCTAGGTTTTTGAAGACGATACCGTGCTCGGTAAAGCGCAACCTAAA